AACAGCTGTTATTATAGTGTCCTCATGCACATACATACAACTCAAATGCTCAGAGGAATTAGCTTGTTTATTCAAGGGTATATGAAACTAGGCCGTTGAGATTCAAACTGTATCAAGCATTATTCCCCCTGCATGATACAATCATCAAAATTTAAGAGACACGAGTTCAAATAATTAATTGGCATTACATATATGTAAAAAGAAGTTGCTGTAATCTTTATGTTTGGAATCTTCATTCAGATTTCCTGTGATACACTATGTTAAAAAATGTGTGCAGGTATAAATAAATATTATAGAACTAGTCAGCATATTGGCTGATATGAATGTACATGAACAATTAACACTCATTTCATATCACAATGTAATTTTCTCACTGAAGCAAAAATGAATTTTCGCCTTTGGTGGAGCATCATCTCTGCTTTACTGTGGAGTATGACATGAATTTTTATATCTTTCAAAGCTCTCTTGAAGACAGTATATTGAATAATGGCATATTTCATTGTGAAAAATTCACTCTTTCATTTTCATTTCTAGTGATCATGTTCAGAACATTGTCCCTAAACTTACTCTAAATAATTTATACTCTCTCATCTTCAGTTTAGGAATTACGAAGTTTCAGGGAAACCATGTGCAATAGGATAAAGGTGACTTCGGCGAGTTTGCACTAGAGTTAGGTAGTGCTAGTGAAATATCTCATGCTGTTATTTGATTCATGAAAACTAATAGCCCTGAGAAATTTAATTTAGAAAGCTGCACATTTTGAGTAATATATGGATTACTTGACATGTAGGTTATTATTCAATTGAGAGATTTTATATGAAAATGTTAAATTAAATGCTACTGGCAGTTGCTAAAGATTGTACTTTTTAATTATTCTATTTTTCATCCAATGTCTCTTTCTCTCTTGTCATTGACATTTTTGGTTGCCAACAGAATATTGCTTTAGTTCAATTGTGTATTATTATTCTAGGTAGTAGAGACACATAGTAGGCACTTAGTATACTAATGCTTGTTAAATCAATAGCTATGATTTACTGTGCTTACTTTGCAGGTTGCTGCTAAAATTATTTTCGTTTCTACCTCAGTATTTCAAGTATGTGAGGGATTTTTCTGAGCTTTCCAGCCTCAATGTGATTAATGAGATTTCTAAGCATGTTAAAATTGATGCTATCGAATACCTTGGGTCTGAAACTAGAGTGTTGTTGATTGAGTGTGCTTCTGTCTCCTCTGACTGAGGCCAAATAGAATAAAATAGACCATCTTGACACGGTTTAAACTTTCTGATTGAAGAGACAAACTGAACAAGAAGGCACGTAATAATGTCTCTTCACCACTTGTTTATCTCTTCACCACTTGTTTATGCCCACATTTTGCTTTGAAGTTAAAGGGTTGAGCCTTCAGTTTTCATAAATAGATACATACAAAGTTATGAAATTCAAGTGTCCTCCTTATCTAAGGTGTTTTTATTGATGTGGTTTTCTCTTTGTTTGATTAAGTTCAATGATTTCAGTGGATTTTCTGAAGACTCCATTTTGTTTTTGAAATACTAAGTATCACAGTCATTTAAAAATATTTTTTCAATGACAACAGTATGTAGGACAGTTTTGACAATATTGCTGATATTTTGTTTCGCAAAACAAACGGATATGTCTTTACTCATGAAGGTATGAGATACGAATAAGCAAATCAAGGATGAAGGGATAGGCAAAAGATGTCATATCATATATCATTAAATTATTCTTCTTGTGTTTATATGTAAGAGACAGAGCTATTAATCAGATCTTCTGTTGTGTAAATAGTCAACGGGGACTGGAGAGATTGACACTCTATCAAGTAGCCTGCTTACAAGCTCTCATTTAACCAGCAGTCATATGTGTTTTTGTTCAGTAAATGCATCAGAGAAAGCAGTTACATCCATTTACTTGGAATAATACCCTGTTCTCTAAGTGGCAAGAATGCTACTTAGTTAGCATTCTTACAAATATAATGCATCTTTTTTATGTTTTGGAGTTATTTTTAACTCCTTGTATTGTCTGTTATTCTAAGTTGATCAGGTAACTTTTTAAGTTCTGTATTTTGAGATGCTATTTTTTTCTTTAAATTTGGTGTTGACTGAAAATGTATATAGCATATATCCTTAATTCTAGCATCAAATACGGTGAAAATATTCTATACCATTTGTCCTGGGTCTCTCTACTTTGTTGCTAGGCTGCTGATTATTGCATCTGTACAAATGTTTCCAGCAGAGTATTCAGGTTTTTGACAGTGGTAATATCTAAACCATTTGCTTCATTTTTGGATCCTTGACGAAAGTATTCTAAGGAATAAAAATCATTACTGATTACCAGATATTAAACCCGCCATTCTTCTCTTGGGGTGGAAAACCTTTTGCTGTCTAAGAGAAAGTTAAGAAAGGAAATCTTACATTTATTCAGTAGATTTAGGAACTGTTTGCAATGTGTGAAAAATTCTTGGGGCTACAGTGGTGCAAGAACTAGTGTTAGTACGGACACTGCCTCCCCACCCCTCAGCCCTGCTCCTTGGAGGCAGCATGGAATAGTATGAAGAGCACTGAAGTGAGGCCTGAGACCTGAATTCCAGCCTCAGTGCTGATGTGAACAAACTGCCTAATTTTGTTAGATACATTTTCCAAGACCTTGGTTACCTTATTTATGAAATTAGTAATGATACCTGCTTTAATATATTGTCCTATGACTTAATTTCTTCTAACTTTGACATCAAAAATTATTTTAAAAGCATGTTATCTTTTTATAATTTGATTATTTTTTTCATTTACTGTTTGACACTGGAGTGCTAAAACTCTACTCTCTTCTCCCAACACACAGACACACACACATACACCAGGCATGGTCACGTGTGTGTGCAAGTGAGCATGTACATGCATCTTAAAGATGTGTAGAGCTTATTTTAAGTGCAAAGTTTGGCCCTACTCTGTAAATGTGTTCAGAAAACAATATAACACAGATACTGAAGGCAACTTGTTTTTAACTTGTAGCTAAACATGACATTCAAATGTTAATTGGATGAATAAATCTTGTTCATTTTACAGACATGAAAATGTCAATGGAATAAAACTATTTATCACAAGATAATAGTCTCCTGCCGCCAGATAAATGCCAAGATGAAGATACTTATTGAAAATGTATCAAAATATTCTATTGCTATTTATTGAAAATAAAGGTTGAGGAAAAGTTCAACTGTTCAGGTCAAACAGGAGAAATACTCTGCTTATGTATTAGTCTATTATATCAAAACACAATGTGCATATTATAAAGCAAGGGAAAATTGTAAGAAATAACAATCAAGAAATGAATCTTTTAGCTTTACATATGAGAATTACTGGAATGTACCATGGGAGCCAGGAAAAGATCACTTATTATAAGCCTGACACAGTCCTGGGCGTGTTCACTGATGTAAACCTCAGGAGAACAAGATTTGCAAAGGATTATTATCTGCATTTTACAAGGAAAGTTAAAAGAAAAATATCTTGTAGTTAAGTGGAGTGTGACAACATTAAGTCCAAGGTTCTCCTGGACTCCAAATCTACTAATCTTTCTCTGCACCCCACCCCTACTTTATACTATCTTAGTGAGTACAGTAACTTTTACTTTTGACTGGTGTGTGTGAACAGATTATCCCCCCAAGTATTGTTGAGTTGATGATCAATTTTTTTTGGATTTAGAGAATTAATATACTGACAAGTCTTCTTCAGGTGATACTGTTGACTTTCCTGAGGAAAAGAGCACACTCACACACACGAGGATTTGGTAGCTCTAAATAGGCCACATGGCACTAAATTCTAGCAGAAAGATTGCCTTTCCAGCTTAGTGTGGTTTGGAAGTCAGTAGTTAATGCCCGCGTCCCCTTTTCTTCCTTTAATATCTGTTTCTTTTCCTGTGCCACAGTGATCTTGGTATAACTAAACTACTTAGGTGATTCTAAACATAGGTGAATAATTGAAGTTTTTTAAAACAAAGAAATAAATTAGTGTTCACTACATCTTTTGCTAACTTCTATATGCCAAATCCTTTTCCTGTCCTCCCACCCCTAACTATCCCTTTTTTCCACCTGCCAAAAACAGTGGGTGTTATGAATCCTCTGGATTTTCACCTAATTGCCTTTTTCCTTTGGCATCAACCGCTTTCTACCTAGCACTTTGGTGGTTCATGTACTGTTGATATACTTACTGTCATTTCCCTGATAGCTAGTAGGTCCTTATTTGAAGAAATTGTGTGTTTTCCTTCTCTCTTCTCCCTGGTATCCAACAGTGATTTGAACATTACAGGTACTCAGTCAATGAGAGAGTGACAGACACAAGTGGCTCCTAATTTTAAGGGTTAGAGGAAGTATTACAACTTCAGAGGTGTCCATACTACACCTTGTGAATACGGAATTGTCTACCTGATCCTTTCTCTATGCTTGTCTCTATCAATCTCTCTAACACACATTTGGATTTTACTTATTCTATAAAATTTCTTGAGGCAACAAATGAGCAGATAATTTAACTACTAGGTGGTTATAAAGGAGAGACACTGAATATTTTAAATTTCCCCCAGATGAAAAATGGTAATGCATATGTGTATATTGTATACATATATTTAGCTTGACTACAAGATAATTTTCTTCTTGTTTGACCTGTAAAGTAAAGATAGTAATCCTTTGCAAATTTTGTTCCCCTGAGGTTTACATCACTGAACACACCCAGGACTGTGTCGGGCTTATAAACTATTTCTTCCTGGATCCCTTTGTGCATTCCTGGATCCCATTGTACATTACATATGTAATTCTCACATGTAAAGCTAAATATATACATGTATACATATATGTATATGTGTGTGTAGAGAGAGAGACAAAACACTTTTCCATATGTAAACAGTGAGGATTTTGTAAAAAAAAAATCATATTTTTCTAGCCATTCTAGATAGACATTGAGCATCTTTTTTACATAGGAAACTGACAATCTTACCCTGCACTTTCAGACGGAAGACCTTTACCGCTGAAGGCCATTTGGGAAGGAGTCCATGAGAGCTATAAGTCACGGCTTCTGCAGGGGCCGTGGGACACCATCACCCAACAGGTCAGAGAGTCTCTCCTTTTTATGATATGCAGTAATCTCCCTCTGCTCATCTTCTTTCTAGTTTTCTCTTTCCTATTCTTTTTCTTCTTTCAGTCTTTTACATCCATGCAAATATATTTCAACTCCAACATAATTTTTTTAAAGGCTTCTTTTTTTTAATGCATACAAGAACTGGGGTACAGGCCAGAGGAGATTGGGGGGAAGTTGGTGTGAGAAGATTCACCAGAGACAGAGTGGGAAGCAGAATAGGCAAATTGACTGAAATACACTTCTGAGGGCAACAGTGGGAGAGACAGGAGAGGCGTTCTGCACCATATGGGTCAGCTCCCTGGCTGGGAATCAAACTCTTGCTGCAGTGGCTGCAAATAGCTTCATAGTGCAGTGCTTTAACCAGTCATGCCACCATGGGAGGCCCAACATAAAACTCCTAAAACTCATAAAAGAGGAAAGTGGGGTAGAAAAAAATGAAAAAAATGGAATGGAAAAAAACAGGGTTGGGGAGAGTACAGTGGGCTATGGGGAAGATTGTGGGTTCTTCAGAGCTTGGAGAGCTATGGTGGTCACCACTGAGGGAAGAAATCCTATAATATGTAAAATTAATTAATAGGTTGTAAAATAATAGTACTCTACTAAAAACAAAAAAATAAATCCCCCTCCTAGACCCAGATTTGGTGTAGCCTGTGTTATTCTCATAGCACCCTGTAATTAATTTCCTTCGTAGTATTTATCACAATTTTTTTTAAAGATTTATTTATTTATGCATACAGAACTGGGGTACAGGCCAGAGATGCGGAGGGTGAGAGGCTTCACCAGAGACAGAGTGGGGAGCAGAACAGGCAGATAGGCGAAGCACACTGCTGAGGGGAGCAGCGGGCGGGTCAGGAGAGGTCTGCCGCACCATGTGGTCACCTCCGGGGCAGGCGGGAGTCGAACTCATGCGGAAGCGGTTTTAGATTCTCAGTGCTGTGCTTTAACCCGCTGCGCCACCAGGGAGGGCCCATTTATCACAATTTTTAATTCTATGTTTGGAAGGTTTTATTTCTAATTAAACCTTGTCTTTCCTCTACATGTTGTGCTCCTAGGTGTTCAAATCATGTTTCATTGTACATTCAGTACCAGTACAGATCACAATGTAGGTGCTCAATAAAAATAATTCTATTCTCAGTGAATGGGAAGGGAAATTATTTGACAGAATGTTTCATAGAAGTAGAAACATACTCACTAAGAAATAGATAACTGTGTTATCTATTTGTAACTTGAGTTACCTGCCATGTTTCAGTTTCCTCACAGGTATATTTGGGAAGAAATTAACTTGATTAAAAGTAGGTTTGCAATAATTTTTTTTTTTAAGATTTATTTATTTATTCTTTCAGAACTGGGGTAAAGGCCAGAAGTGCAGGGGCAGTGAGAGGCTTCATCAGAGACAGAGTGGGGAGCAGAACAGGCAGATCGACGAAGTACACTGCTGAGGGGAGCAGCGGGTGGGTCAGGACAGGTCTGCCGCCATGTGGGTCACCTCAGGGGTGGGGATTGAACTCGAACTGAGGCAGATGCAGGCAGCTTGCAGTGCTGTGTCCTAACCCATTGCGCTACTAGGGAGGGCCCCAGTTTGCAATAAAAATTTTTAAAAAGTAGAGAAAATAGAGTTGCAAAAGTAGAGAAATTATATCCGTCAATCACGTAAGTCATTATTGCTGCCGTGCTAAAATCAGCAGTTAATTATTGTAGAAATTTAAAACTACTCATCTCTTTGCAACCAATCATGGTCTTCTTAAAATAATTTTTACTTGTATCAGAAATTTTACTTTTCCCAGCTTCTGTTAAACTTAATCAAAACCCCCTTTAAATACTGACTTTATCAACCATTTGAATTTTTATATCCTCTTACATGTTCGATCTGAATAATGACAGTTTACCTTCTAATCAACATAAGAATCCTTAGCATAAGTAGTTCTTTAACAATGACTGCAAATGACCATTTCCTGGTTGTTGGTTTTTTTTTTAAGATTTATTTATTTGTGCATACAGAACTGTGGTACAGGCCAGAGGTACAGGACTGGTGAGAGAATTCACCAGAGACAGAGTGGGGAGCAGAACAGGCTGACTGACGAAGTACACTGCTGAGGGGAGCAGTGGGCGGATCAGAAGAGGGCTGCCTCGCCATGTGGGTCCCCTCCGGGGCAGGGATTGAACTCATGTTGAAGCGGCTTTAGCTTCTTAGTGCTGTGCTTTAACCTGCTGCACCACCAGGGAGGGCCCCATTTCCCGGCTTTTAATTGAGGACAAATTAAGGTTTAAGTGTATGTACCTTTCACACTGTCCCTCAAATTAATCCTTTCCTTTTTCTTCCCTGTCACGAGATCAAGTTTTCTGACCTCTCTTGGAACAATTAGTAGAGGCTTCTACCTCTGATTTTCTTCTCCTTTCCTACCATTACTCACATCTTTTTAACCACCCCTGTACTTAATCTACCTTTGGACAAATGTGCACTAGCCCTCTAAGTGTCTGTGGCATGTGTTCTGAATGCTTTGCCTGGGCTACAACAACTGTCTTTCCTACCTCCAACCTGCCCTTTCAAACTTCTCTTCTCCTCCACTCAATGTAGTTACAGTTACTGCCAAACATGGATGTTCATTTCCCCAAACCCATCTTGTACTGTTTGTTCCTGGAATTCTTTCCTTCTTTGTTCTGATAGCATATTTCCTACTTGTTCTCTATATGTGCCTTTCTCTGAAACTACCTCAGTCACAAATGTAGGCCCCTCTGAAATCCCAGTTCTAGGACTGGCTGGGGTATTTGCTGTGAAGAACTGTAATGAGACATAAGCAAAACAACCATAGATGTTTTTGGCAAGAGCATTTATTTTATGCAAAGTCTTTTAAATTAGATTAACCTTTAGGTATGTCAAGGTGAGTACTAATGAGAGTTTTAACTTCCAGTGTTATGTCAGTGACCACAGACTGTCCAAAAATGTCTACTGTGGTGTCACAGCACCTAGAGATCCAGAAATGTTTGATTGTAAGAATTGAGCAAGATGGCAACATAAGAGGAAGAGAGCTTCTAAGAGAATAGACATGCTTAACTCTAGTGTCCTTCCTCAGCTCAAGTATGTTTTGCATTAAGTCTCTGAGCCCAATTTTTATTCTTTCCTTTTTTATTCCTAGCAGCCCTATTAATCTCCTCACTGCAAACCTATCACTCATATCCTGGTGGCCTTATGTCATTTTGGGTTTTATTTCCACACATCTCTATTCTGCTTGTCACATATGAATACAATTTTTGCACCAGTTGTATTTTGTTAGTTTCATAATATGATATTGTATATCAACTTCTTTCCATTGATGGAGCTCCTGTGTCACAAAAACACCAAAATGAACCAAAATGTACATTGATCACTTTTATTGGAATTGACTACAGTTATAAGCATTTAAGTATCACATAACAGCCTATTAATGGAGCCTCTTTTTTCTGCCTATCTTACTATAGTAGTGAAGATCGAATCCCATCACAGTAAGCATAGTGCTTATTATTGACACCAAGTGTGAGTCCACTTACTAGGGAGGACATCTAATATAACCAAATTGCAATACAACAATAACTTTTAGGCATTTCTTCGGAACTTTTCTTACTGGAATTGATCTATGGAGTTACCACACTTTTGACTGCAAACTTTTTTAAACTTTGTAATCGCTCAGGTACATGTCCAGGCATTAGAGACCTACCAAGAAAAACTTACTTGTTGCCATCACACTACTTAGCAGTTGAAAGTCATAAGGAATATTTCCTTTGAAGGTCTAGGTTTTTCATCTGAATTTAGTTAATAGGTTGGCATTATATGCTCTTCTTTGCTTGAGGTCTTTTTTCTCCCCATATGGAGAAAAGTAAGGTATTCTCAGTGAGGTGAAGGGAGGGTAAGATAGAGCACTCAAGGAAAATGAGCTAGTAGAATATTGGTGGCACCAAGTAGCAGATACGTTTTGCAAATTATACTAAAGAACCATTAGCTTGCAGACTGAACATGATAATAATATCCTGTCCTCCAGAGTGGCTTAAAAACAAAAGCAGCCTTCACATAATATAAAATGTGTTTCACTTCATTTTCAGGCTTGATTGTGCTCATCCAGTTTGTTGCTCTTCATCTTTAGTAATCACACTTCTGTTCTCTCAGCATTTGTCTTGATGATAAGGACCTGTTCATGTCAGATATGAACCTTCTCTTTTGAAGACAAGCCACTCATGAATCTCATACATTTGATTATGGTGATTACTTACCTGCTCCTGTACATTATAGACTGCCTATTATCTGAACCTGCAGCCTAATAGAGAACTCCCGAAAGAAAGTTAACAGATGCCTATGTTAGAGCTGCCTAAATTGGCAGAGTGAATGTTACAATAATTACCAGTGGAAGGTGTCAGCTCTGTGTTTTGGTAGACTGCTGTGATCATGGCACAGGTGCAATAAAAAGGTATACCAGAAGGTGTATATGTTTATGTATGTGCATGTGTAGTGATTAGATAAATAATTTTCTTCTGCCTTTCTTTAAAAAATCTTTTTATTATGGAAAGTTATAAACATTTACAAAGTATATAATGTACTTATAAATTCACGGTCCACTTTGTATCTTGGTAAGTCACCCAATCTGGAATTTGGGGAAAGCAAATCCTAGATATCATTCTTGTTCATATTTATATATGCATTATTAAATGGTAGGGGCTCCACATGAATTTTTATAGGAACTTTATTCATAATAAGTCAAAATGGAAACAAACCAGATGTCCTCAGCAGATAGGTGGTTAAATTAATTATGGTATATCCTTGCCACAGAATACTACTAAGCAATAAAAGGGAGCCAGTTTGATACACTAAATAACCTGTATGAATCTGCAAAAATTGTTCTAAGTGCAGAAAGTATGTGGTAATATCTATCTAAGGAGGTATGAACCCCTAATCCTCTAAATCATAGAGTTATAAGCCAACATTCCTGCAATAAAAAAATAAT